GCTGACCTGACGCAGACGCAGACGCGGACGCAGCTACCTGAGGGGAGTCAGTGGTCAGTGTGTAAAGGTCCGACCCCGGCTCCCGAGTGAAGGTAGCCAGGTGGCGACCCGTCCGAGCACACGTGCAGTGTGTCACGCGCTCGTAGGCAGGGGTGAACTGGTGAACACCCCCGTCCTGGAGCGCACTACCTGCCACCAAGTTCGTAGAGAACGAGGGGAGGTAGAGACCTGACAGCGTGCCGGACGGGACCGCCGGACAAGGAAGGACAGTGGAGGAGGTCGCAATGACCGGACCCCCAGAGGGGTCAGCAAGGGAGACAGCAACTGGCCGAGCGAGTGGCTCAAGGACAGTGCGGTCACGAAAGAAAGAGCGAGAAGCACCTGAGTCCAGGGTGAAGGTGTGCAGTGCTGCAGTCGACTCAGTACCAGGGGGCACGGACGCACTAGCACCTAGGGCTGCAGCCTCACCAGGACCTGTGGGAGCAGACGCACTAGCACCTAGAGCGGCAGCCGGATTGGCCTGAATGCCCGGGTCGGGCGGAACACGCAAGTACTGAGCACCCTCTCCACTAATAGACATCGCATACATGGCAGTGAGAATAGCATCAAAGTCTAAAGCCCAAATATCAACACCCCTCTTTTCCAGATCAGCCCAGCGTGGCAGCTCAGTGGCAGCAGGAAACTGAGTGCGCCACGCGTCGTTAAGGCGCGCGAAGCAGCGCTGCGTGGGGTGCGGCCTCCCACACTGCTGGCCGCTGCGGTCACCTGTGCGAATGACGTACGTGCAGGTAACGCTACGCTGCGCATACCACTCACGGGCGGCCTGAAGCGTCGGGGCGGGCTGCTGACTCTGCCCTCCGCCAGTGCCTCCACGACCACCACCCCCACCGCCGCCGCCCCGGCCACCTCCACCCCTGCCGCCGCCACGACCACCTCCGCCTCCGCTGCCGCCTCCACCACCACTCCCACCGCTGCTGTCTCCTCCCCCACTGCCGCCACTAGTCTCCCCAGCCGCGCCTCCACTCCCACCGCCTCCACCCCCACCTCCTCCGCCGCCACCCCCACCCCTGCCCCCCTTGTTCCTGCGGCGCCCACTCGAAGCAGACGCGGTCCCGACCTTCTCAGCACCAAGAAGGTCGACAGCAGCAGCAGAGGCGACAGAGGGGAGGAGGGGGGAAGGGGAACACCCCTCAAAGAACGGGGTGCGGGGGTCGCCACGAGAGGTGCCTACAGCGACGATGCTCGCCTCAGCTGCAAGCAGTTCCTTCTCGAGGAGGGCAACAGTGAGCTCAGTGGGGGAGCGAGAGAGGAAGTGGTCCCTGACTGCGCGCAGAGAGTCAGGAAGGCGGGTGACGATGTGGTAGAGAGTGATCCAGAGCGGGGGGGGGTTGCTAGTGAGAAACTCGGCAGGCATAGCAGCGCGAAAGCGGGCCTCACTAGTCTTAAGGTGGGTGATGAGGTCTGCGACAGTGTGAAAGGAGGCTAGGTCGGGGAACAGGTAGGGGAGAGTGAGGCGGCCTAGCGTGGCAGAAGCTGGCGAGGAGTAGCGGGCAACTACAGCGGTGTAGAGGTCCTTAGCAGTCTTGCACTGGCCGAAGTGCTCGCGCTCGTCTAGCGGCAGGGAGTTGCGAATAGCAAAGCGAGCGTGCGCATCACGGGTCTGCCACTGGGAACGCAGAGTGCTGTCAGCAGTCGAGTCAGGGGCAGTGGCATGGCCTAGGGCGTGGTCGTACAGTGAGATATCTTCCTTGGCAGTGAGCTGTAGGAACAGGTGCAGGTCATCTAGCCAGGTTTCGAACTTCACTGGACGGCCCTCGGCATCGAAAGCTAGAACTGGCGGACTAGCCATAGTGACAGTAGCAGTAGCAGTAGTAGCAGTAGTAACAGTAGTAGTAGGAATCAGGCCGCTGGAAAGGTGTGCGGAGGGTCAACGGGGCCGGCGGGGCCGCTAGGCAAGGCGCGGGCGGGGTCGACTGTCCGTAGTGGCACACGAGCGGCAGTAGTAGGTAGCGTGGCAGCAGGAGCTGCAACGGTGCACTGGTGGCAGCTGCAGTGGCAGCAGTGCGCGCGGTAGGTAGAAGGTAAACAACAGTGAGAGCGAGTGCCTCGCGGGCGGCGGCTGCAGAAGCGCACAGGCGGCAGCGGCGCACTGGGAACGGCGGTGCACGGGCAGCGGGAGCGCACGGGCAGCGGCAGCGTAGGAGCAGCGACGGCGCACGGGCAGCGGCGGCGCACAGGCAGCGGCGGCGCTCGGGAGGCAGCAGTGCGCAAGCAGCAGCGGAAGCAGCGGCGTACGAGCGGCTGCGGGCAGCGGGGCGTGCGCTAGCAGGCGACGGGCGGCTGCGGGGCGTGCGCGAGCAGGCGACGGGCGGCTGCGGGGCGTGCGCGAGCAGGCGACGGGCGGCTGCGGGCGGGCGGCCGCTGCGACAGCGGGCTGCGGGCCTGCGGGACGTGCGCGAGCAGGCGACGGGCGGCTGCGGGGCGTGCGCGAGCAGGCTACGAGCGGCTGCGGGGCGTGCGCTAGCAGGCGACGGGCGGCTGCGGGGCGTGCGCGAGCAGGCGACGGGCGGCTGCGGGGCGCGCGCGAGCAGGCGACGGGCGGCTGCGGGGCGCGCGCGAGCAGGCGACGGGCCGCGCGCGAGGGAAATAAGGCGCGCGCGGGAAAAAAAAAAAGGGCCGCGCGCGAGCGGCTAAGGGGCGGCGCGACGGGGCCTTAAGGGGCGGGTCGCGGGTCGCGGGAGGTAGGGGCCGTAAAAAAAATTCGAGGCGCCCTAGGTAGGTAGGTAACGGTGGGCCCTTAAAAAAAAACGGTCCTAGCGAAGGACCTGCTCTGAAACCATGTCAGAATGAACAGACAGGAATGACTGTACTAGCACAAAGTTGGATACAAGTAGTAAACCCTAATCTAGTGTACCCCCTAAGGTGTAACCCACTACAGCCTACAATCATATAAACATATAATGTTTGACAGCTCACTGCACCAACTCCGTTGCTGCAGCTCGCTGCTCTTAGAATGAAACTCCTGCTCATAGATTGTTGTCAGAATGTGATGTTTGTCTAGCCTGCAGTGGGGTACTCTATAGCGAGTACAACCCGAATTAGGGTTTCCTATATGTACTCAACTGCTTGCTAGTGAAACCCCTCTTTGCCTATTTCTCGTTTTCGCCTAGCCTGTTTAACATGCTATCAGAGCAGGTCGACCCTCCTGGGTCGATCCTGTGGGTGGTCCCACCAGAAGCTTCCGCTGCTGTTTCCTGCTGTTTCCTGCCCGCCGTGCGCTCCGGGCGCGCGGCGATTTTTTCTTCCCGCCGTGCGCTCGGGGCGCGCGGCGGTTTTCTCCCCCGTCGACGGTCGCGTCGCCCCCCGCCGGAGCCCGTCGCGTCGCCCCGCGACCCGCGCGTCGCCCCCCGTCGCCCGACGCGGCCCGCGCGACCTGCGCCAGGCCCGCGCGCGGCCCGTACGGGCTGCGCCAGGCCCGCGCGCGGCCCGTACGGGCTGCGCCAGGCCCGCGCGCGGTCCGGGCAGCCCGCGCGCGGCTCGTCCGGCCTGCGCTAGGCCCGTGCGCGGCCCGGGCAGCCTGCCCCAGTGCTGCATGCCGTCCCCCGAGCTTTTGACGGCGCCCCACCCCTGCTGCTGCCCGCGTTCCTGTGTTAGGGTTTGGGGGTGGAGAGTATGGGGGTGCCGTGTGTGTGAGCCGTCCCCTGCTCCTCCTCCTCCACCCTCTCCCACTGCTGCAGCTGCCGCTGAGGGGGGTGGATGTGTTGGAGCCGTCGGAGTGGTACGAGGGGGGTGGCGTGTGAGCGGTGCTAGTGGTTCAACAGGGAGTGTGTGAACGGGGTGTGGGACAGTTGGGGGAGGTTGACCGGAGGTAGCCGACTTGTCGTCCGCAGCGCCTGAAGTCCAGGGAGCCACGACCCCCTGTGGCCTGAGTAGTCCGGGGCTCTGCGCCCGGTAGCCACAGTGTGAGCACTCCTGGTAGTCCAGAGAGCCACGACCCCCTGTGGCCTGAGTAGTCCGGGGCTCTGCGCCCGGTAGCTACAGTGTGAGCACTCCTGGGAGCACAGTGAGCCAGCTGCGTCTGTCGCCGTGTAGTCCGGGTTTAGCCTGGTAGCGACAGTGCTGCGCACTCCTGCTGCCCGTGTGTCTGCAGCTTCGGCCGTCGCCTCCCATTTTCTCCCCCCTACAGTTTCTCCTCCTCCTCACGTGCCCTCTGTGATAGCCTCTAGCTTTGCTTATAATTGTGAACTATTGCTCTGCCTGCTTGTTGTGTTGATTGTACCCCACTTTGACTATGGGGGTGTGTCAGAATGTGATGTTTGTCTAGCCTGCAGTGGGGTACTCTATAGCGAGTACAACCCGAATTAGGGTTTCCTATATGTACTCAACTGCTTGCTAGTGAAACCCCTCTTTGCCTATTTCTCGTTTTCGCCTAGCCTGTTTAACAATTGTTGCCTTGGGTATACGGTAGCAACACTGCTTGAATCTTATACCACGTGCGGCAAGTTAAGCTTGGCTGAATTCTGAAGTGATTGGTTGTACCATGGTTGTTCTGCTGACCAGCAGGCAAATTCTTTGGTGCTGCATTTGATTGTCTGGCTAGAGTCATTGTTTAGGGCAGCAAGGTTAACAACTAAACAGTAGATAAATAGTATGCAGATACACAGGTGGTAACTTCGGTAAATCCTAAGAATTTTACCAAATAAGCAGCACACTACCAGCAGCATCATCCCGTGACAGGCCCGGTCATCACATGGCCCAGCCTCTGACCCATTCAAGAGCACGAGAGCAGCTTCAGTCGTATAAGCACCTCCCACAATCCAGCCTCCATGCTCCAATCCACCATCCAGTTGCTACAACACCCTGACCAGCAGGGTGCAAAAAGTGTTGCCGCCTTCCTCCCCACTGTCCACCACCCCGTGCCTTCCCCAGCTGTACCTTGGCTGCTCTCTGCTCGCTCCAATCAGCACCACCCTCCCACTCTCCACCACACACTGCATCCCTCACGGCCTCCAAGGAGGCCTTGCTGCTGCTGCTGCCTTGCTCACCCCGATAGGCCGGTTCCCTCTGCACCACACACTGCCATTCCTCCTCTCCTCCTGCCCGCCTGAGCTGCTGCTTGCTGTGACTACAGCACGGGTTACCACAGGATCAGCAGCCCTTGAAGAAGCCTCCACTGCTGGCATGGCTTTCCTGCTGACCCGTAGCTTGGGAATGAGGGACGGCAGCAGGTTTTCACTTGCTGCTGTCGTCCTTGCCCGAGCCTTGCTGGCAGAGCATCCAGTGCCAGGCTTGGGGATGCGTGAAGGCAGCGGCGGAGTCAGGCTGGCTGCTGCCAATTTCACTTTCGCAGCCACAGCACCTCCCACGTCAGCTGCCACAGCACCTCCCACGTCAGCAGCCACAGCACCTCCCACGTCAGCTGCCACAGCACCTCCCACGTCAGCTGCCACAGCACCTCCCACGTCAGCTGCCACAGCACCTCCCACGTCAGCTGCCACAGCACCTCCCACGTCAGCAGCCACAGCACCTCCCACGTCAGCAGCCACAGCACCTCCCACGTCAGCAGCCACAGCACCTCCCACGTCAGCGGCCACAGCACCTCTCACGTCAGCAGCCACAGCACCTCCCACGTCAACAGAAACTGCTGTGGACAACGTTGCTGCCGTTTCTGAGCCTTCATTTCTGCCCTTCTTCAAGGTGCTGTAGACACCGCTGAGCACGTCTCTGGTGACGTTTGCCCAAGCAAAGGCAAAGCTGAAACGACTGCAGTCAATGTATTCTCCCGTGCTGTAGAGCCTGTGATAAACAACGCTCTCCTTGCTTGCACTGTTGCTGAAGCTGCTGCTGGCGCTGCTCTCCGTCTGTGAAGCCTTCTTAGAAGCATCACCCGCAGCGTCAGAGGAAACCACTGCAGCCTCAACGAGGCCCTCAGTGGAAGCGGAATGATCCACTGAGGCTTCGGACGTGTACCCTGAGGCTTCAGCATCATCTGACGTTTCTGCCTCGGATGACTCCTCTGCAGCCTCGGATGACTCCTCTACAGCCTCGGATGACTCCTCTGCAGCCTCGGATGACTCCTCTGCAGCCTCGGATGACTCCTCTGCAGCCTTGGATGACTTCTCTGCAGCCCCGGATGGCTCCTCTGCAGCCCCGGATGACTCCTCTGCAGCCTCGGATGACTCCTCGGCAGCATAATAGGAGTACCATGCAGCTTCACTCCACACCTCCTCCTCCCCTGCAGCCACATAGGGAGGTGAGGAGGTCAACGGATGATGACTCTGCATCTGCATGACGGCAATCCTGTTCCTAAAGAAGGCTAACGCTTCATAGAAGGTAGGATAACCAGCCGCATAATCAGCCATATTAGATTCTAAATCAAAACGGTAAACGAGAAGCTACAGGCCTTGAAAGCGGAGCTTAATGGTAGAGAGTCCTGGTAACAATAACGAGGGTAGGCTTAAGGTTGCAGGAAATTGAAGAGTATGCTCTGAAAATGACGAGGGTTGTGGTAATGCGGATTTGAAGATGAGGCATGAGGCAGCCGAGGGAGAGTTTGTGGGGAGGAGCAGCCGAGGGGACGAAATGGGAGGAACGAGAGCCTCCTGGAAGTGCTGCCGAACTGGCAGGCTCCGGGAATTCCTGAGCTCTGTGCTGGCATGCTGCCCAGGTCAAAATAATCAACTAGGGCATTCCTTGAACGACTGGACTGGCTAATCGAATCTCATTGGGGTTCGGGCAAGAGCGGCGCGACAGTTCTGGTTTCCGCTGCCCGCTTTGAGCTCGGAAATTCTGCCACGGAAAGATACCGAGCCTCCTTGCGAGAGATCCGGCGGCTCGTGGCGAGGTGAACGCAACGCACGCTCCCGAGCTTCATTTTCTCGGTGTGAAAGAAAATCTGGGTAGAAACCTACTCTAGGTTTGGCAATGCCTGGCAGACAAGCGAGGGCGGGAAACACATGCGACATGTCAGTGCCCGAGGAGTTATCTAGGGTCGTGGTATGGTACTGTAACAGCAAAACGAGCAGCCAAGCGAATGCTCCGTGAATTCAGCGGTGGTGCTTAGGAGATTATCGAGGGGACATACGATTGGAATTCCAGAGCTCCAGACCTGAACTCGTTAGAGAGGTTCTCGGGACTTCTATTTACGAAGTCAAATGTATACCGTTTCCATGTTGTGGTGCTCGTCTCAGCGGAAACCTAGGGTCAGTTGCTACATAAAGGTGTTGGATTGAGATTGTGTTTCATATGGGCACCCTGTATTCAGTCCGAACAGCACCAGTAGTGTGGATCACAAATGTCAACCCAGCCACTGTCTCCGCTGCGTCTCAAACCGACTCCGAGCATCACGTAAGTGTTTCCAATTTCAAGACGAGGGGGTTCCAGTGTGAACGACGCTCAAGATTCGAAGGTCGTGGTTTTCTCGCAAATCTCAAGAGGACCCTTCTCGAAGGTAAAACTGACAACACTTATGTTTTTCGGGTCTATCTGCTGAGATCGATGACTCCCAACCTTCCTCTTGAACTCAGGTCGCGATTTTCGTCATCCTCGTATTTTCACACCACCACTCACCAGCGGTGGTGATTAGCATAGCGCGATCGACGGCGCAGTTTGCGTCATTCTGCTTCGAACATCGCATCATTCGCTTTGCTTTTCGTCTGCCTTCCGGTTTCATCGCTGTTGCGATAACTGCTTCGTTAGCATGTCGCACAGTCCGAGCCATCTCATGCGCACAGGTCCGCAAGCTCGAGAATAGCGTCCTAGGGTATCCCGCGCGTGTTCGTACTGCAGTTTTGTTCGCTTCTCGCTCCTCGTGTGTTAATCTCGCCGCTTGCTTCCGCGCATCAATCCATCCGAGTCGTTTCCGTTATCGAGTATTCGCACCACGTATCAGAGCCAAGTGAAACACGCAGTGGGTCTCGGTCGGTTATGAGTGCGTTTGAAGTCGTGATCCGAACGCCTTCCCTCACTCCGTGTGTTACGCGCACGCGGCAGAGCTGATCGAACGGTGCATGATGGGGTGAAGATGTGGCGATGACGTCAGCGCGAAGGGCCGCGAGGAGCTGGCGGGCACCATGGCGCGGAGGGGCGTCCGCGTGTGGGTCAGCATGGCCGTGGACGACGCCACGTCAGTAATGCGCGCTGCCATGTGCGTGCCGTTGACTCGCGAGCTGTGATCATCTCAGGCCGTCGCGCTGCACGGCGTGACGTGACCCAATGCTGGCTTCCAGTGGTAAATCACATTTGAAACAGTCGGTGCTCGATAGTGCGACCGCATGGTGAGTTGAGCAAGCGAGGTGGGTTCATGTGCGAGCGGTGGTGCTGAAAGCGTGACCCAGTAGCGACTCTCATTGGCCAGCCATGTTATCGACAGCTGGTGACCACCCACGTGGGCGCCTGCACTCGCTCACGCACGGTTCTCCCACATTATGTTTGATTGTCTCAAATTGTCCCACATTGCCACATGGTGCCAACTTCTCACGTGCTCACTGCAGTTGCCGAGTTCCCATTGTTGTTACATGTTGGCCTTTCCTTCCTTCACTCTGCCTGCTCACCTTCTTTTCTGCTTTCCTGCCTGCCCAGCACAGCCTGACGGCATGCGTGCCTGCCATGTGCCATGCACGTGCCCACCAGCATCAACGCCATCTGCTTCCTCCCACCACTCAACCATCCAGCCGTCCATTCTTTCAGAAGCTCCCTTCTGCATTCTTCGTCAGCCCCCCTTCTTCCTTTTCCCCCTCTCCTCCTCCTACTTCCCCCCCGTTTCCACTACCCTCCACACCCAGCAAGCCGGCATGCACTGGCTGGCATGCACTGGCTGGCATGCACAGGCGTGAGGAGCAGGCGACGTCACTCAAGTCAAGACACGCCCTTGCTCGTCCGCTCCACTCTCCCCGCTCTCCAACCAAGTCACCTCATATCACAACACCCACCAATCACATCCACAGCATCACTCGCGCTCATCAGCCGTCAGAGCAAGGTCCAGGTGAGAAGTTGGGGAACGTTCAAGGGAATCAGTTGGGGGGCGCATTTTGAGTTGCGCGGAGCATGGGCAGTTGGGGGGAGCATGGGGAGCATGGGGAGCATGGGGGACCATTATCTTTCTCTCCACTTTGCGCTCTCCGCACCCCCTTCCTCTCTACCTCCCCCCGTGCCCTGACCTGCTTCCCCTCTCTGTGTGCCCTCACATTCTCGCATGCCCGCTTCCCCGTCCGTCCGGCACTTGGAGGCGGGTTGGGTTGAACAAGTAGGGAGAATCAGGTGTGTGTGAGTAGTCAGACGGGTGGTGTGAGTGAGTGTGAGGCAGGCACAGGGGGAGAGCGGTGAGTGCCAATGCTGCCATGACTAAGGGGTGCTCTGGGAGCCACCTCAACGTGAGTGTGACTATAAAGGGGGATGGTGTGAGTCATGTGTGTGTTGCTGTGCAGAGCGGTACCATGTGGGCTGAAGCACATGTGGGCTGAAGCACATGTGGGATGAAGCACATGTGGGCCGAAGCACATGTGGGCTGAAGCACATGTGGGCTGAAGCACATGTGGGCTGAAGCACATGGAGGATCCAGCAGCTGCAGCGCGCGTGAGAGGGCTGTTGTTGCCACCAGGAGGCCTGCCAGGCACCACTGCACTGCACTGCACTGCACTGCACTGCACTGCACTGCACTGCACTGCTCGCACGCGCCACATCAACCACCTGTGCCTTACACCGAGTTCCTTGCATCATCCGCACACCGCTCACATCAACTGCGCCAACCCTCCGCCCCCCCCCTCCCCAGCTCCTCTCCCCTCCCCCTCCCCCCGTTCCTGTCCCCACCACCCTCTCCCCTTTTTTTCTGTTGGTTTTTTTTTTTTGCTAGCTGTGGCACCACCGTCATCCATCGCTCCTCTTTGCAATCCATCTTCCCCCCGATGTCTTCCTCTTCCCTCCCATGTCTTCCTCTTCCCTCCCATGTCTTCCTCTTCCCTCCCATGTCTTCCTCTTCCCTCCCATGTCTTCCTCTTCCCTCCCATGTCTTCCTCTTCCCTCCCATGTCTTCCTCTTCCCTCCCATGTCTTCCTCTTCCCTCCCATGTCTTCCTCTTCCCTCCCATGTCTTCCTCTTCCCTATTCTGCCCTTTCCTGCCCCCCTCAGAACCTGTGTGGGACGGCGCATATCAGCCCATGAAGAGCATTCGCAGAGAAGAGGAGCAGGAGAAGGTGAGACCCAGGAGAAGGTGAGACCCAGGAGAGGGTGAGAACCAGGAGAGGGTGAGACCCAGGAGAGGGTGAGAACCAGGAGAGGGTGAGAACCAGGAGAGGGTGAGACCCAGGAGAGGGTGAGAACCAGGAGAGGGCGAGAACCAGGAGAGGGTGAGGAGCACAAGGGTGAGAGGATTGCTGACAACGGTGGTGGTGGTGTGAGGTGAGGAGGGTAGAGGGTGAGCGAATTGCAGCACCCAAGGAAGGCGAAGCCAAGGGGGGCCCACATGTGGCACTCACTCTCACTCACAGTGTCGCTTTGTCACACATGTGGCACCTAATCACACACACAGCTGTTTTGTTGCGTCTCTAGAAATTCGATCAGAAGCCTGGGTACCCCATGCCATGTGTGTCGCTTTGTCACACATGTGGCACTCACTCTCACATGTGGTCACATGGTCACATGGTCACATGGTCACATGGCGTCACTTCCCCACGTGGCTACTAGACCTCTTCACCTTTCTTTCTTGCAATGCCACGTCCCGGCATCCCTTTCTTACACTCTGCATCCTCACCTGCTATTCTACATGCCTGCTCTTCATTCTGCCTGCTTTCCAGCCTGCCTGATTACAAGTTATCCCCACCCTTCCCCACCATTTACCCCCCTTCCCCATCCTTTCCCATCATTGACCCCCCTTCCCCGTCCTTTCCCACTTTTCCCCATCCTTCCCCGCCCTCCAAACCTTTTCAGTGAGCCCTAGTTGAGCCAGCAGCACCTGCTGCAGCTGCGTAGGAGCAGCAGAGGGTAGGCCGTGTGGCGTGCTTGTTGAGAGGTCGCGACAGCTGTCTGTCTCAGAGGTGCTTTCTGGGTTCTTTCTTGCGTGCACCTTGTGGTCTGCTTCTTCTTGCTCATCCTCTTGTGAACATCCCCTTGGATGCCTCTGCCCGATTGTATCTCTCAATGTGCTCGCGCTGTCCCTTGTACCAATTCAACCTCACTCACACCCTTTCACACTTTTTCACTTCGGTTTACACATTTCACCCATTTTCACACTTCATTTGGGAATTTTTACCCCTTGTCACAGTGTGTAACAGTTTGTAAGCCTTTTTCAGCCATTGTCACAGAGTGTAACACTTTGTTATGCAATTTTCAGCCATTGTCACGGACCTCACGTTGTGGTGCATCGTCTCGCATTCTCATCGTGCATGTTGTCACTCGTTCTCACTCTCTGTCATGCCCTTGTCACTCATTGTCACTCATTATCACGCACGCACGCATGGGGTCGGGGTTCAGGGAGGGGTTGGGGTTGAGGGAGGGGTTGGGGTTGAGGGAGGGGTTGGGGTTGAGGGAGGGGTTGGGGTTGAGGGAGGGGTTGGGGTTGAGGGAGGGGTTGGGGTTGAGGGAGGGGTTGGGGTTGAGGGAGGGGTTGGGGTTGAGGGAGGGGTTGGGGTTGAGGGAGGGGTTGGGTTGAGGGAGGGGTTGGGGTTGAGGGAGGGGTTGGGTTGAGGGAGGGGTTGGGTTGAGAGAGGGGTTGGGTTGAGTGAGGGGTTGGGGTTGAGGGAGGGGTTGGGGTTGAGGGAGGGGTTGGGTTGAGGGAGGGGTTGGGTTGAGGGAGGGGTTGGGGTTGAGGGAGGGGTTGGGTTGAGGGAGGGGTTGGGTTGAGGGAGGGGTTGGGGTTGAGGGAGGGGTTGGGGTTGAGGGAGGGGTTGGGTTGAGGGAGGGGTTGGGTTGAGGGAGGGGTTGGGGTTGAGGGAGGGGTTGGGTTGAGGGAGGGGTTGGGTTGAGGGAGGGGTTGGGGTTGAGGGAGGGGTTGGGTTGAGGGAGGGGTTGGGGTTGAGGGAGGGGTTGGGGTTGAGGGAGGGGTTGGGTTGAGGGAGGGGTTGGGGTTGAGGGAGGGGTTGGGTTGAGGGAGGGGTTGGGGTTGAGGGAGGGGTTGGGGTTGAGGGAGGGGTGGGGTTGAGGGAGGAGTTGGGGTTGAGGGAGGGGTTGGGTTGAGGGAGGGGTTGGGGTTGAGGGAGGGGTTGGGGTTGAGGGAGGGGTTGGGTTGAGGGAGGGGTTGGGGTTGAGGGAGGGGTTGGGGTTGAGGGAGGGGTTGGGGTTGAGGGAGGGGTTGGGGTTGAGGGAGGGGTTGGGTTGAGGGAGGGGTTGGGGTTGAGGGAGGGGTTGGGGTTGAGGGAGGGGTTGGGTTGAGGGGGGGTTGGGGTTGAGGGAGGGGTTGGGTTGAGGGAGGGGTTGGGGTTGAGGGAGGGGTTGGGGTTGAGGGAGGGGTTGGGTTGAGGGAGGGGTTGGGGTTGAGGGAGGGGTTGGGGTTGAGGGAGGGGTTGGGGTTGAGGGAGGGGTTGGGGTTGAGGGTGTCAGGAATACTAGGAGTGGGGCCTAGGCTTAGTAGCCTAGGCCCACACTAAGAGGTAGTAGGATGTGCCCTAGGACTAGGGTTTTGGGTATGCGAAAGAGAATGGTGAGAATGAGGTGGTTGAACTAGCAAGAGTTGGGATACAAGTAGGAAACCCTAAAGGGTTGTACTCACTGTTGAGTACCCCACTGCAGGCTAGACAAGTAACATTCTGACACACCCCCATAGCCAAAGTGGGGTGCAATCAGCAGAGCAAGCAAAGTAGAACAAGCTCAGGGTGGATCACAATGTCACCACACATTCTGAGCACAAGTTCAAGAAGCAACAGTTTAAAGTTCACAACTATGAGCAAAGCTAGTGGTAGTCACAACGGGGAGGAGAGACTGTGAGGGGAGAGAAGATAGGAGACGTCGTTTGGAGCTGCAGTCACATGGCGGCTGACTCAGATAACTGGTGCAGCACAAGCTCTCAGTAGCTACCGAGGTAAGCATCCCGGAATACAGGAGTAACAGGCTCTGCAGCTGCGGCAGGAGCATCGGACCCACGGGCGACTGGTGTAGCACTCACTCTGCGCTACCGAGACAGAGCCCCGGACTTCAGGTGCTGCAGACGACAAGACGGCAGCCTCGGCTCAACCTCCCCCAACTGTCCCACACACCCCCCACACACCCACTGCTTCACCCCTAGCTCCACTCCCCCTTCACTCCTGAAACCCTAAACCCTCGGCTCCCACACATCCACCCCCCTCAGCGACAGCTGCAGCAGTGGGAGACGAGGAAGGAGGAGGAGGAAAGGAGCGACGCAAACGGAGCATGGATGGAGAGGCGGCAGAGGAATTGCGGATTGATGGGGTGAAGCTGCAGCAGCCGAGGCTGGGAGCGACCGGGAGAGAGGGAATGCAAGAGACAATGCTGCCATGGCAGAGGGGAGTGGGGACAGGGCAGGAGCTGGGCAAGGAAGGAGCATGCGATGCTGCTGGTATTGGCAGTGGTAGTGGCAGTGGTAGTGGTGGCAAAGGTAACTGCATGGTACGACTGCGGCCAATTTGATTATGGTGGACAAGCGGGCCGCGGGCGGCAAAAGTGCTGATGAGGGGGACAGCAGTAGGATGGCGGAGCTGCGGCAGTGTTGGTCCCACAGCCACTGTAGCTGAAGTCAGCTACAGTTGCGTGTTGTTGATATGGAGCTTCATGCTGACTTGTGCTGTGGCTTGCTGCGATGCGACTTGTGTTGGTTGCCACGGCAGCATCGGCAGTCCCTGACGTCTCCACCACTGCAGCAGCTGCTGTTTTAGCTGTCAAATAGCATGTAGTTTGTAAAGCACGAACCTGCCATGGTGCAAATAAACTTACGGTATGTAAGATGTAGGAATGTGCAGAATATGGTTCAGTTTCCATCCACTATGACATGCACATTGCCCACAGTATTCACAAACAAGCACCGCACTCGTACCGTACATATTTCCATTTTATATCAAACTGTGTTAGTAGAAAATGCCTGTCGCTTCTCATACATAACCTCTGGTCCTACGTTTTTTTCTGGGGAAAGACCCCTCCGGCCCAAAACAGCTCCCTCCAGTCCCTTTCCTCCATTCCCCAAGGAACGGCCACAAGCAAGCTTCTCTCAACGAGTTACACAAATTGCACCCACGCCAAGGCAAACAGAAAACCTACTACATCCCAATCCCTTTCCCCGTCAGATCACAACTATTCATCCTGTCATTCCAACCTGCTTCCCTCGTTCCGCCAGTCCATTACATCCTCCTCCCCCCTGCACCTCCACCGTGTTATTCCTCCTCCTCGTCCTCATCGCCCCCCTCATCCATGTACCTGTCATCCTCACTGCCCCTGCCATAACGATGCATGATCTGCAAATCCTCACCACCACTCTCTGCATCCTCCTCTGCGTCCTCCTCTGCGTCCTCCTCTGCGTCCTCTGCGTCCTCTTCTGCGTCCTCCTCTGCCTCGCTGTCCACCTCGTCCCCTTCCCCTGCTGCATCCCCTCCCTCCTCACCCTCTGCCTCCTCCCCTCCTTCCTCCTCCTCGTCCTCATCACTTGACCCCCAGCCCCCCTCGTCGACGTATCTGTCATCCTCACTGTCCCTGCCATAATCGTCTATGATCTGCAAATTCTCAAAACAACTCTCTGCATCTTCCTCTGCATATTCCTCTGCATCCTCCTCTGCCTCGCTGTCCGCCTTGCCCCCTTCCCCTGCTACATCTCCACCCTCCTCACCCTCTATCTCCTCCCTGCCTTCCTCCTCTCCCCCTTCCACTACCACATCTCCTCCCTCTTCACCCTCTGCCTCCTCCCCTCCTTCCGTCTCTCCTTCACCAACCGCCACTCCCTCTCCCTCCTCCCTATCCTCCTCGCCTACCCTTGCAACCCTTGCAGCAACCCTTGCAGGAACCCTCCTCTCTCGCCATGGGAGCGAAGGGCACTCTCTGACCTCATACTCACGCAGCATTTTCATTCTTTGGAGAGAGGACGGCAGCCGAGCCAGCTTGTGGCACTCTGTCACCCGCAGCACCTGCAGCTTGGGCAGTCTAGAGAGCGACTCTGGCAGGCTGCACACCTGCTTCAGCCCCACAAGCACCAGCGTTTGCAGGGAAGCCAGTTTCCAAAAATCAACCGGAAATGTCCTGATCCCATTCTTGGTGAGGATGCACGATTGCAGCTTGGACAGATTCGCGAAGGATCTTAGAAGCTTCATCAGCTTCAACGATCTCCAGCGTCTCATGCATTTTCATCTGCCCGAAAGACTCGGGCAGCTGTCGTTATGCAGTCAGGTAAACCAGCTTCAATACCCGCAGACCTGAGAGCCCTCCAAAGGCGTCAGGCAGAGACTCTAACTGGATGGCAGAATCGATCCGGAGTCTTCTCAGGCGTGAGAGTTGAGAGATGGAGTGAGGGAGTGCTACAAGGTAGCACAGATCTAGGAGCTTGAGCTTCGTTAGAGAGGACAGCTGGCCGAGGGACGGACCAATCTTGAGACTCGTGATGGAAGGAAGCAGTGCCCTGTTGCTGCCCGTGCTGGTGCTGCTGCTCATGCCGGTGCTGCTTGTGCCGGTGGTGCTGGTGCGGGTGCGGTTAGAGTGTGCTGAAGAGCCACTGGAGGTGCGTTCGGCCACCACCTCATCCCCTAGCAGCGCGCCAACCCCACAGCATGCCCGCACCTCCAGCACGCGCAGGCGGGGCAGCCTAACCAGCGACCCAGGGAGAGCCTTCAAGCCGTCCATCCGTGCGATCTTCACCACCTCGAGCGCCTCCAGCCGTTCGATTCCCTCTGGCAGAGCCGTTACTTTAGGGCAGTTCAAAATATCCAGGCTGGTGAGTGAAGAAGCGCCTGAGAAGGGAGCAGGAAGGGCAGATAGGCGGGGCATGTGTTGAAGCACCAACTCCCTGAGGCTTCTCAGGCAACCAAAACTGTCTAGCAGGGTGCCTCTAAAGCCGTTAGCTTTGATAATCTTGAGGGATTGGAGAGACGTGAGGCCGGAGAAGGTTGGAGGGAGGTGGGTGAGAGATGAGCAGCGGTTCAGATGCAGAGAGCGAAGACGGTGCAGACCGATCCCCATTTCATCTGGCAGCGCGGTGAGGCCCGTGCACGTCTTAATCTCCAGGTGCTCGAGAGACGATAGCTGGGATAGGGTTTCCGGAAGTTGCTGCAGCTGCTCGCACTCCTCTATTTTTAGCTCCCGGAGAGCTGTCAACTGCCCTAGGAACGATGGAAGAGTTGTGAGCTCCTTCATCTCCAAATTGAGTGTTCGCAGCTTTGACAAGAGCCCAACATGGTCAGGAAGAACTGAGAGTTGTGGCATTTCAAGGGTGAGACTGGTGAGTGAAGGCAGGCGAAAGAGAGACTCGGGCAGAGACGTGATATCGCTGCAGCATTTGATAGCGAGAGTCTTGAGACGGCACAGATGCTCTAGCGCCTCGATTAGCCCGCGCATTCCCCTCACTCCTTCCAAACTGACGGATTCGAGCCTCCACAGTCGCGGAAAATTGACGGGAGACGGGAGAAGAAAGTCACAATGTCGAATGTCCAGGACGGTGAGAGAAGGAAGCTCGGTGAGGGACGCAGGCAGCTGCAGGGTGAAGCAGTAAAACACGGATAGAAGGTTCAGATTGGCGAGTTGCCTGAATGATTCCGGAAGCGACGCCAGGGAGCTGCAACTGTCCAGCTTGAGCGACGTTAAGCGAAGCAGATTGCCGAGATCTGGAGGCAAGGCCTCGAGTCTGCCAGCGTGCAGCTCGAGGCTTCTGAGAAGCTGCAACGAGGTCAATGTGTCGGGAAGACGCGTGACGCTCGCCTCGAGATGCAGGCTCCTGAGCGAGGTGAGTTGGCCGATTGATGGAGGAATAGCAGCAGCAGGATGCACCGAACACTCCACATAGAGATCTTCCAGTTGAGTACACTTGTCGAATAGAAAGTCCAGACTCTTCTCGCTTATGCCTTTGCGACTGTATATAGAACGGTCCATCGATTCTACTCGAAGCGCGGTCAGATGAGGACAAAGTCCGTGAGGCGAGAGAACAAAAAAATTGAGGGTGCGGTGAGGCTGTTAGTGGGAAAAATGAGCTTTCTGAGGTTGGTGAATAACGCCAGACGTTTTACGAGCCGACGCGGATCCATGCAGAGGTTCGACGGCAAGTGGATCTCATGTTGCAAGCGGTACGCGACGCGACGCCATTGCTTGCTGACACCTGCATGCTCCAGCTGGCCGTCAGGTCGAATCAGAAAGCGCAGGATCTTAGAAAGCAGCTCCTCCAGTAGCCGTTGGATAGGGGATTCGACTGCCATCTTGAAACGAGGGACTAACATGGTAAGACTGATGGCTGTTCATCGTTGTATAGAAATATAGCCCTTTCTGCAAGCTAGCACTGGCAGCAAGCTCAGACCAGTCACAAAGCTTGGCCAGATGGGCGTGTGTGGGATCAGTTGCCGCGCAGAGATCTCTCAAAAAGCAGACTTTTGAATTGTCAGTGGCACCATACTGCACCGCTCAAGTTGTCAAACCGTTCCCGCCAAAATATCCCACGAACAGAAGATTTGCGAAAATTGGACGATGACACAAAGGCGCAGTTTGGCGACATTCTTCCGTTCCTCTGCGAAGCTCGCGCAACCTCTGTTCGCGTTGACATAACGACACGTGGAACCGTACCCGTTCATGGATGCGGACATACGGTACCACTCCTAGACGTCAAATTTCGTAGCACACTGGCAACTTGGTTAGCAACCCAGCATTTATAGTAGGCTCAGAATGCAGCTCAAGACCAAGCAGTACCACACATTGACACACACAATATCCTAACTACATGCATATACAATGCCGTAATACACGTATAAAATATACTAGATTGTTGGCACAACCCTGCTGCCTTCAAGTCCTTCCTACAGCTGCTGCACCTCCCACACCTGTCGATCCTTCTCCTGATGTGGTCTCATTCGAGAAAATCGAAAAGCCCACTCCCTCCAGCGACTCACTCCCCCTGCCGTCCCCACGGCGCAGCACAATGAACCCAGACCCCTTGGTCTCAGGCACCAGCTCAAACCCTCCGTGCTGCGACAGGAAGGTCGCAGGGATGCTGGCACGGTCGTTGGTGGAGGGGGAGGGTGAGGAGGCGGCAGTGGCAGGGAAGAGGCCCGGGTGCGAGTCAAATATGGCCGTGCGCGGGCCGGTGAGCAGCCAGTGTGCGTCGTGGTGAGGGGAGGGTGCATGAAAGAGCGGCTCCTCGTTGCCGTGCGTGTTGATGCGCACGAGGTCAAAGCGTGGCAGGGCCAGGAAGAGCAGCAGGAAGGGGCCTGACAGCCCCGGCACCACGTCCGCCTGTGCCCAGCTAGACTCGGCGCCCTGGCCAGGATGGGATGAGGGAGCGGTGGCATGCGCAGGATGAAACAGCGATACTAAGTGGGCAGGGACGAGCAGCAAACAGGTGGGCAGAGCAGCACCTGGGCGTTGATGGACTGGGCGGGTGTGAGGCGGCCATCCTGCCCAACATGCAGGCTCGTCTCGTACGGCCACAGCCCGCCCCTTACCGCCACCACGTTAGGCAGCGCCGCCGTGTTGCGCTGCAGCGCACGGAAGCTGCTCTCTCCCGCCTCCACCGCCACCACCGTCGCCTGCGGGTTCCTGCAATGGCAGAAAAGCAGGCAGGTAGTGTGTAGCACAGGTGGTGGAATTGCGTTTCTAAGTCCATCAAGCATGAGTCTGTGTTGTGCTGTAGTGCCCAGAAGCTGCTGTGCCCGCCTCCACCGCCACCACCGTCGCCTGCGGGTTCCTGCCAGGGCAGCAGCAGCAAGTGCAGGTGGGGTGTGGCAAAGGTGGTGGGTTGAGTCCCTAAGCTCATCTAGCATGCTGCCCTGCATGTCCTCTTAAGCCGTGCCTTTGCCACCTTCCATACCCATTAACCCTGGCCCCAACGCTCAACCCATGCTGCTCACCTCAAGCCCGCAGCACTCACAGGGCGGCGAGCAGCAGAGAGAGCACGCCCACGCCAGCGCCGGTGTCGAGGATGGCGAGCAGCGAGGGGTCGGCGCGCAGCACTGGCAGCGCCGCGTCCTTCTCGTAAAACTGGTGCAGCGCTGCCACGTCTGCACGGGGGGGGGGGGAGGAAGCAGGGAACGCGGGGGAGAAGAAAGGGGAAGGATGGGGGGAGGGGAGAAGGGACGGAATGCAGGGGGTTGCTGAGCGGAGTGGTGAGTGAAGGAGGCCAGGTGGTGACGGCACGGGTGGCGAGGCGTTGTGCCAATGGAACTTGCGTGCGATGGCAGAGCAGCAAGAGCACGGTGGGAGAGGGAGAAGAAGGGGAGGGACGGGTAGAGGCAATCGTCTTCTTTACGATACTCCTTCGCCCCCGCTCTCGCAAGCCCCTCCTCCTCACCATCACTTCTGCATCTCTAACAACACTCAGGTCCTTCCCTTTCCCATCCCCCTTCCCGCCACCTTTCTGTATTGCCAGGGCCTTGCGCACCTCTCTTGAGGTGGGGAAGGGCGCACCTTCTTTGAGGTGGCGGAGCCAGAGGGCGTGCAGGCAGGGCAGGTGGGGGAGGCAGCCGAGGTCGCGGCGCAGGGAGCAGGCGAGCACGCAGGAGAGCTTTGCGGGGTCGTTGTCGCGTGACACCTCGCGCTCCAGCAGCCCCCAGTCCATCCACACGCCGCCCAGATAGTACCGTGCCTCGCCCATGGCGCAGTGGTGCGCGCGCTGCAGAGCCTCCGCTAACTCATCCTCGCTGTAGGAGCATAGTTGCGCTGCCCCGCGGTGCCCCGCGCGCACTGCCACTGCGCCCGCGTGCGCCGCGCGCGGAGCGACGCTGTTGGAGAGCGCCGCCACCGCGGGATGCACCTGAGGGGCGGAGAATGGGAGGGCAGACAGAATCGGTGCGGGGGAGAGAATGCGTTGGCGAGGAGACGCAGGAGGGGGAGGAAGAAAGCGAAACGGATAAAAGATTGGAAGAGTGAGGTGAAGAGGAGAGGAGGTGATGCGAAGAAGCATGATGGCAGATGGGTGAGGCGCACGGGTGAGGTGCACGGGTGCGGACTGGGCAGGGATGGATGGCAGAACGAGCATGAAAAAGACGGATGGCAAGACAGACCACGTGGCGTACCGACGCCACGTGGTCGTCGAGGTGCGCGAGGAAGGTCTGCTGGAAGCGCTGCTGCTCCGCCAACAGCCGTTGCAGTCCCTCCCCGTCGCGCCGATCCCGACCCCACAGTGCCACCGCCGCCCCAATTAGCACCGTCGCGAGCACCATCGCGCCCACCGCCCGCCGCGTCAGTCGCTCCCGCGCCATTCGCAGTTCTGACTCCGAATGAGCGGGGGATCCCGCTACGCCATGAAAGCCCTAGTGTTGGACATCCCTAACGTTGGACATCCCTAAAATCACTTCGAAATCGAGGAATACCCCAACCCAAGGTCACCCTCACGACGTAAACCTCGACTTCCCGCCATAATTCCTACAGGTTACCTCTCGAAACTCGCGACTTCAGCGACAATCGCCTACCTTTTCGCCCACCATCGTAACATGATTTCTTACCAATCGGGAGGCAGCTCAGTTGGATGATACCTCTAAGGAATTTTCCTAATTCCTTACTGGGGCACTCCATACGCATACAATTCCAACCTTTTCGGACTTCAGGCTCGGTCCGTCGGCCTCGCCTTCCGAACGACCCCCGCGTCGCCTTCGGGTTTCCCAACCCCAAACCTGCACCCAACCTTCGCGCGACTCCGCGAACTCGGCCTGGCTAGCTTCGCTATATTATGCCTAGGCCTCGTTGTTTGCTCAGTAGTTGTAATCACTTCCGCGATATTGCATTCTGCGCACTCTTCTTTCGTACAACTCATAACACTTGGTATCAGAGCTACTTTCCTAGGTTACCCACCACTTTCCGGGGTAGTTTTAGTGCAGGGGTGCGATAGACTTGGTGGGCTGCAAAGCGGTCGGCTGAGAGATAGATACGATTATCTCGCTCCAACTAATAGCGTTTGTGCCTTCATCGAAGTCATAAAAAATCGCTGTTAACCCGCTGCCCGCTAGGATGAGTATCCGAAACATGACGCAGGCGGAGTTTGACGCCTTCGTGCAGGACTTTCGGGCGATGCAGACCAACATGCTGTCCATGAACGGCGAGTTGGAGCGCCTGAGGGTGGAAAACGCCGAGCTACGCCAGACGCGAGGTGAAACGCGTCAGGAGTCGCCCGTCGTGGATGAAGCAAGTAGCAGCTTCGCACCTAAAGACGAGGTCCTTAGCGAGCTACAGGACTCGCTGGACGCTGAAGATGAGTGGACGGCACGCATGCAACAAGCACCAGGGACGCAGGAGCAACAGCAACAGCCGTAGCAACAGGCACAAGCGGCGCCGAGGCAACAGTCGCAAACGACGCCACGACAGGCACCAGCGACAACCCCGGCGACGGCTTCGGTGGCGCCCCCGATGCATGCAGCAGCAACAGTCTCAACAACTGTCAAAATAAAACCGACAAACCCGCCCCCGTTCAACCCCAGCGACAAAACCGTTACGGTGTCGGCGTGGCTGTTCGGCGTGGAGGTGTTCTTTAATGCTGCGCAAATTGCTGACGATGCTACTCGCATTAATTTTGCAGTGTCACTATTACGAGGACCGGCGTTGGAATGGTGGAGGCGGACTCTTCAGACAGAGGGGACTCCGGCAGGGCTGTCACGTGCGAACGACGGGACCTGGACAACTGTCACGCAAGGAGCAACTTCAATCTTCGGAGTGGCCACGATACGCACATGGACGGAGTGGGGCGCCGCGCTGCGAGCCAGATTCGAGCATGTATCCGCCTCGGATTCTGCTCGCATGAAGCTGCGTACCTGGAAGCAGGTGGCGTCGGTCCAAGATTACACGGCAACATTCTGCAATTTGGCTGACCAGGTGGACGACATGAGCGATGCGGAGCGGCTCGACCGTTACGTCGCAGGCCTCAAGTACGAAGTACAGTACGAGGTGCGACGGGCGAGGCCACGCGATTTCCTCGATGCCGTCCAGGTGGCCGAATCTACGGATGCGCTGATGCAATGGGCGAGAATGAGTTCCCGGGAGGGCACTCAATTTCGTGGACCGCCGCGCCAGCCCACAATCAACGGTGTGGAGGCGCCTAGACGTGGACCTAACACGTGCTTCAACTGCCACCAACCGGGCCACTGGAGGAAGGACTGCCCGCAGCTGAAACAGGGAAACAGGAACGACGGAGAGGGGTCGGGAAAAGAGACGAGTCAGTAGCAGTCGGGCCACCTACTGACGAGACCCCGTCGCCCGGCAATCAACATCCACACCGAGTAGTGGTACCGATACGGGCTATCGACCGCAACCGGACGAATAAGGTGGATGAACACGTGGATCACCCTGTGCTGGTCGTGGGGAGGGTTAACGGGTATAAAATAAAATTATTCGTTGACGGTGGGGCGAGCCACAGTCTCGTCAACCTGGCAACGGCCAAAAAAATTGGAGTCAAGCTGGACAGGTGTCTGCCCGAGATTGACGCGCGACTGGTGGACGGGACACCGCTGGCGATCAAGGACGAGGTCCGACAAATTCGGATGAAGTGTGGCGACGATTTCGGGTTTTCGATGCGGATGTTGGCGACAACACTGGACGGTTGCGATGTGCTGCTGGGACGAGATTGGCTACAGCGATTCAATCCGACGATCGACTGGACGACGGGAGCAATCACGGTGGTGTGCAACAAGGGGCGCGTGACACTTCCGAAGTGGGCGAAGCCGGAGCCGATGACAACACGTGTCAACGCGATAACACTGAAGCGGGCGATAAAACGGGGAGCGCAAGGCTACGCCGTACAGCTGTACGAGGTGGTGGCGTCCGAGAAAATCGCCGACATTGACACGCTCTGCGCTGCTGTACCCGACGACGTGGCGAGCATAATTCGGAGGTATCCCGAAATTTTCGCGGATGACCTGCCTGACGGGCTGCCACCTCAGCGTCCGGAAGACCACAGGATCGAGCTAGAGCCGGGCGCAAAACCAACTGTTCGGTCACAGTGGCGGCTCAGCCAACCGGAGCTCGACGAGTTGCGGAAACAGCTGGATTATCTGCTCTCGAAGGGTTTTATCCGGCCGAGCACGTCATCATACGCCGCCCCGATACTGTTCACGCCGAAGAAAGACGGAGGCCTGCGCATGTGCATCGACTATCGAGCGCTGAATCGGATCACCATCAAGTCGCGTTACCCGATTCCGCGAGCGGACGACCTGCTGGATCAGCTTCGCGGGGCTCGCTTCTTCTCGAAAATCGATTTGCGAGGTGGCTACCATCAAATTCGCGTGTTCGCCGACGACTGCCCGAAGACTGCGTTTCGAACCCGCTACGGCAGTTACGACTATACAGTAATGCCATTCGGGCTGACGAACGCACCCTCGACCTTCCAGCTCACCATGAATGGGGTGTTTCGGGACATGCTGGACAAGAAGGTGATAGTTTACCTGGACGACATCCTGGTGTACAGCAAGACTCGGGAGCAGCATTTACAGGATTTGGAGGAAGTGTTCCGGCGCTTGCAGCAGAACCGACTGATTACTAAGGGCTCTAAGTGCGAGTTCTTACAGCCGGAGCTGGAGTTCCTGGGGCACGTGGTTTCAGGGGAGGGTATTAAAATTGACCCTCGAAAATTAAAAGCGATTTCGGAGTGGAAGCCGCCCACGAACATCACGGAGTTGCAGAGTTTCCTCGGCTTCGTTAACTACGTCCGCCGCTTTGTACCGAATATGGCGGGGGTAACCAGACCGTTAACCGATCTTCTGCATAAGGGCGTGCAGTTTTTGTGGGGGGGGAGAGAGCAGCTGGCCTTCGACGAGCTGAAGAAAATTTTGAGTTCACCCCCGGTACTTCGCCTGGCAGATCCATCTCGACCGTTCGAAGTCGTGACGGACGCCAGCGATTTCGTCGTCGGCGCTGTGCTACTACAAGACTTCGGCAACGGGCTGCAACCCATCGCCTACGAGTCAAGGAAAATGCAGCCGCCCGAGCGCAACTACCCTGTACACGACAAAGAAATGCTCGCCATCGTGCATGCATTTCGTACCTGGCGCTGCTACCTCACGGGAGCTGACGTCACCATTCGAACCGACCACAAGTCATTACAGTACATGCGCAGCCAACCACAGCTCAACCCGCGACAAATCCGGTGGCTCGACTACCTCGAGTCAAATTTCAACTACACCATCACGTACAAAAAGGGCGCCAACAACATCGCCGACGCCCTGACACGACCATCGATGCAGACCGCAGCAGTACTAATCGCCCACTGTAACCCTTTATTGGCAGGATTATTCAAGCACGTCTACAAGATCGACAGGTTCTTCAGGACCAACCAACACCAACGGGTCACCACAGCGCATGGGAGCTACTACCTAAAAGTCGGCACCAACCGAGTTTGGGTTCCATCCTACCGACCCCTCCGAGAATTGCTAACGCAGGAGGTACACGACTCCAACCTCTCCGGGCATTTCGGCATCGACAAAACGTTGAAGCTGCTGCAGCGGAATTACTACTGGCCCGACATGGCGTCGGACGTGCAGCGCTACGTGTCCGCCTGCCCGACCTGCCAGGCAATGAAATCATCGCGCCAACGCCCAGCTGGATTGCTGCAGCCCCTCGAGCCACCCGAACGACCGTGGCAACAGGTGACAATGGATTTCGTCACGGGACTGCCAGCTGGCGCAAGTGGCAACGATTCGGTTCTCGTCGTCGTCGACCGCTTAACGAAAATGGCGCATTTCGCACCATGCCGCACGACGATCACGGCCGAAGAAACAGCGAAGCTTTTCATCGCGACCGTTGTACGCCTACACGGGTTACCTTCGGCGATCATCAGCGATCGAGATCCGAAATTTACGTCGAAGTTCTGGCAGGAGACGTGGGCACAGTACGGCACCCGCCTGCAGTTTTCGTCGTCATACCACCCGCAAACCGACGGACAAACAGAGAGGACAAATCAGACGATGGAGCAGTTGATTCGCACGAACTGCCCCGATATCACCAAGTGGGAAGATTCGCTCCCCATGCTCAAGTTTGCCTACAACAACGCCCCTTCTGCTACGACAAATCAGTCGCCGTTCTACCTCAATTATGGGATAGATCCCGTGGTACCCTCATCAACGACTCCTGAAAATCCGGTACCACGGTCGCAGCAGTTTCGGAACTCCAGGCAGCACGCGACAAGGCAGCAGAGTTTATTCGGAGAGCTAATACTGCCGCCAGCCGCTATGCTGACCGACATCGACGGAATTTACCCTTCCGTGCCGGGCAGATGGTCCTCCTGGACACGAAGAATCTTCGACTGCCCCAACCCGCAAAACTGCGTCCCCGCTACGTGGGACCGTTCCGCGTTATTCGGATGCTGACCCCGGTCACGGCGAAACTCCTACTACCGGACGACTGGAAAATCCACGATGCTTTCCATGTCAGCCTGCTTCGCCACTACGTGGCTCCGCAGCCGTCCGACATCGCTCGACCCAACATCGCGCCAAGTGTTCAGCCGGTAGCAGATCCGACGCTCCAGCCCTGGAAGATCTTAAATCACCGCACTCGTGCGACCCCAGCTGGACGCCACGTCGATTTTCTCCTCCGCTGGGTAGATCGTTGCAGCGAAGACGACACGTGGGTGCCTGCTGATTCCCTACAAGGCCACTCGGTCCTTCGGGATTATCTTTCCCGCCGACACGTGCCTGATATTGACCACCTTTCTTAAGGGGGGGGGTAGTGTAAGGAATTTTCCTAATTCCTTACTGGGGCACTCCATACGCGTACAATTCCAACCTTTTCGGACTTCAGGCTCGGTCCGTCGGCCTCGCCTTCCGAACGACCCCCGCGTCGCCTTCGGGTTTCCCAACCCCAAACCTGCACCCAACCTTCGCGCGACTCCGCGAACTCGGCCTGGCTAGCTTCGCTATATTATGCCTAGGCCTCGTTGTTTGCTCAGTAGTTGTAATCACTTCCGCGATATTGCATTCTGCGCACTCTTCTTTCGTACAACTCATAAAAATACCCCACCCCAAACCCAACATTGGCGGGAAAGTCGATGGTCTTACCAAAATTGTCGTGACAAGTCTTTTGGCATTTAGTGACGTCCGAAAAACGCTAATGTGGAAAATGGCTTCAATCGTATAACCCAATTTTGCCTTTGTGCTTTTTGTCAGAATGTTATTATCTAGCCTGTAGTGGGGTGCTCTATAGCGGGTACAACCCAGTTAGGGTTTGCTATATGTATCCCAACTGCTGCTAGTGAAACCCCTCTTTTGCTCATTTCTCTCTTGCCTAGCTAGGTAAAACCTAGCTATGGCTCCTTGTTCTGCCTACTATCTTCACATGGAATCAGAGCTGTTACGCTCTTGGCCTGTGGGCCCCACGTGCTTCCGCTGCTTTCCTGTCTGTCTGTCTTCTAGCGAAGGACCTGCTCTGAAACCATGTCAAAATAAGAGACTGGAATGACTGTACTAACAGAAGGATGGATACAAATAGGAAACCCTAATCCAGTGTACCCCCTAAGGTATCACCCACTACTGCCTACAATCATATAAACATATAATGTTTGACAACATGTGGTTACAAAAGATGGTAAGCTTTAAGATATCCTGGAAAAGTGTGAAGATAGTAGGCAGAACAAGGAGCCATAGCTAGGGTTTACCTAGCTAGGCAAGAGAGAAATGAGCAAAGGAGGGGTTTCACTAGCAGCAGTTGGGATACATATAGCAAACCCTAACTGGGTTGTACCCGCTATAGAGCACCCCACTACAGGCTAGATAATAACATTCTGACACACCCCCATAGCCAAAGTGGGGTGTAATCAGCACAATGAGCAGGTACAGCAGGAGTTCACAATAATAAGCAAAGCTAGAGGTAATCACAGCGGGCAAGTGAGGAGGAGGAACTGTGGAAGGAGAGAAGATGGGAGGCAACGACTGAAGCTGCAGAGGCACGGGCACAGGAGCGGTTTTCTGCCCGCCGTGCGCCCCGAGGCGCGTGGCGGCTTCATTCTTCGCGCGTCACCCCGGTGACCCGCGCGTCCCCCCCCGTCGACGGTCGCGCCGCCCCCCTGGAGCCCGTCGCGTCGCCCCGACAACCAACGCGCGCCCCCCCCGTCGCCCCGTCGCGCCGCCCTGGGGAGCCGCGCGCGGCCCCCCGCTGCCCCGTCGCGGCGCCCTGGGGAGCCGCGCGCGGCCCCCCGCAATCCCGTAACGGCGTACTGGGGAGCCGCGCGCAGCTTCCGCTGCCCCGTCGCGGCGCCCTGGGGAGCCGCGCGCGACCCCCCGCTGCCCCGTCGCGGCGCCCTGGGGAGCCGCGCGCGGCCCCCCGCTGCCCTGTCGTGGCGCCCTGGGGGCCGCGCGCCGTCAGACCGCCGCGGCCAGCAGTGTGGGAGGCCGCACCCCACGCAGCGCTGCTTCGCCCGCCTTACCGACGCGTGGCGCACCCAGTTTCCTACTGCCACTGAGCTGCCGCGCTGGCCTGAGCTGGAAAAGAGGGGCGTTGATATTTGGGCTTTAGACTTTGATGCTATTCTCACTGCCATGTATGCGATGTCTATTAGTGGAGAGGGTGCTCAGTACTTGCGTGTTCCGCCCGACCCGGGCATTCAGGCCAGTCCGGCTGCCGCTCTAGGTGCTAGTGCGTCCCCTCCCGCAGGTCCTGGTGAGGCTGCTGCCCTAGGTGCTAGTGCGTCTGTGCCCCCCGGTACTGAGTCGACTGCAGCACTGCACACCTTCACACTGGACTCCGGTGCTTCTCGCTCTTTCTTTCGTGACCGCACTGTCCTTGAGCCCCTCGCTCGGCCAGTTGCTGTCTCCCTTGCTGACCCCTCTGGGGGTCCGGTCATTGCGACCTCCTCCACTGTCCTTCCTTGTCCGGCGGTCCCGTCCGGCACGCTGTCAGGTCTCTACCTCCCCTCGTTCTCTACGAACTTGGTGGCAGGTAGTGCGCTCCAGGACGGGGGTGTTCACCAGTTCACCCCTGCCTACGAGCGCGTGACACACTGCACGTGTGCTCGGACGGGTCGCCACCTGGCTACCTTCACTCGGGAGCCGGGGTCGGACCTTTACACACTGACCACTGTGTCCCCTCAGGTAGCTGCGTCTGCGTCTGCGTCTACGTCAGGTCAGCTGTCCGCCCCCTGCTCGTGTCGCTCTCTGGCACATGAGACTGTCCTTTGGCACCACCGCCTTGGTCACCCGTCTGTGCAGCGCCTTCGGGCCATGCACCAGCGGGACCTTGTTGCTGGTCTTCCCAGGGTGCTCCCTCCCCTTCCCGACTCGCCTGCTCCTCCCTGTATTCCCTGTGTCGAGGGACGGCAGCGCGCCGCTCCTCACTCCTCCTCCTTTCCCCCGACGACTGCTCCCTTACAGACGCTCCACATGGACGTGTGGGGCCCAGCCCGCGTCCGTGGTCAGGGTCAGGAGAGGTACTTCCTGATTCTTGTTGACGACTTCTCGCGCTACACCACGGTCTTCCCCTTGCGCGCCAAGGGTGACGTCCCTGATGTCTTGATCCCTTGGATCCGCAGATCTCGTCTCCAGCTCCGTGAGCGTTTCCGCTCCGACTTCCCTGTCCTGCGTCTGCACTCTGACAGAGGTGGGGAGTTCTCCTCTGGCCTATTGGAGGCCTTCTGTCAGCAGGAGGGCATTGCGCAGTCGTACACGCTTCCGGACTCTCCACAGCAGAATGGGGTTGCTGAGCGCCGCATTGGTCTGGTCATGGAGGTCGCTCGTACCTCCTTGAGCCATGCAGCTGCCCCCCATTTTCTGTGGCCGTTTGCAGTCCGATACGCTGCGCATCAGCTCAACCTCTGGCCCCGTGTCTCCTTGCCCGAGACTTCTCCGACACTACGTTGGACGGGAGAGGCTGGCGATGCGTCGCGTTTTCGGGTCTGGGGATCCCGAGCTTTTGTCCGCGACACGTCCGCGGACAAGCTCTCCCGTCGCGCTGTCCCCTGCGTCTTCCTTGGCTTTGTCCCGGACGCCCCTGGTTGGCAGTTCTACCACCCCACCTCGCGGCGTGTCCTGGCCTCTCAGGACGTCACTTTTGACGAGTCCGTCCCCTACTACCGCCTCTTCCCCTACCGCACTGCCCCGCTCCCCCCCCCGCCTCTCTTCCTCGCTCCAGGTGCTGAGGTACCAGACCCCCTCCCCCCTCAGGGTGCCGCTCCCTCAGGTGTGTCCCAGGTAGACCCGGGTGAGCCTGTTGAGGTAGCTGTTGACTCTCGTCCTGCTCGGGGTTGGAGCCTGGGGGTGCTGCGTCTGGGGGTGCTGAGCCTGGGGGTGCTGCGTCTGGGGGTGCTGAGCCTGGGAGTGCTGAGTCTGGGGGTGCGGAGCCTGGGGGTGCTGAGCCTGGAGGTGCGGAGCCTGGAGGTGCTGAGTCTGGGGGTACTGAGTCTGGGGGTGCTGAGTCTGGGGGTGCTGAGCCTGAGCGTGCTCCACCTGGAGGAGCTCTCTCCTCCCAGCAGCTGCAGGAGAGGTATCTCGAGTACTGCCGCCTCCGGAGAGGTGCTTCTGGAGCTCGTCCCGGTACTTCCCCTCCTTCCCAGGAGCTCCCCCCCATTCAGGTGATCCGCGAGTGGTACACGCGGCGCTGCAGTCTTCGTAGTGGTGCTCCTGGTGCTGCGGACCCGAGCGGTGGTGCTGTTGCTGGTGCTGAGGACCCGGACGCTGGAGCTGCTGCTGGTGCTGAGGACCCGGGCGTTGGAGCTGCTGCTGGTGCTGAGGACCCGACCGGTGGCGCTGCTGCTGGTGCTGAGGACCTGACCGGTGGCCCTGCTGCTGGTGCTGAGGACCCGGGCGTTGGAGCTGCTGCTGGTGCTGAGGACCCGACCGGTGGCGCTGCTGCTGGTACTGAGGACTCGGGCGCTGGAGCTCCTACTGGTGCTGTGGACCCGGGCGTTGGAGCTGCTGCTGGTGCTGAGGACTCGGGCGTTGGGGCTGCCACTGGTGTCCCTGCTGCTTCTGGAGACGCTGCGCGGCCGCGACCGTACTTCGTACCGCTCCTTCAGCAGGTTCTTGGTCAGGCTCCTCCTCCTAGTCCTCCTCCCTCCGTCGAGTGTCCTCTGCCTGTCCAGCCGCAGTCCCAGTTACCGCCTGCCTCGCCTCTCCCTGCTCCCTCTCCTTACGCTGGTCCCACAGGAGGTCTTACAGAGCGTCGTGAGCCTGAGTCTCGTCCTGCGTCGCCTGTTCGTACTGCTCGCACTGGTCGTCGTGTCCCACGTGAGCGTCCTCCTCCTGTCCCTGGCACTCACTACATGACTCTGCGTCCCTCCACTGCTCCGCAGCGTGTCCCGCTGCCGTCTCCTCCTGCGTCCTCTCTTCCTACTCTTCCTGACCCGGAGTCTGACTCCCGTCGTGCTGCCAGTCCCACTGTTACGCGTCTCCTCGCTACAGTTGTCACTGACCCGACCTTTGAGTCCTCTGCTGCGTCTGCTCTGGTCGCTGAGTTGGTTGACTTTGCTGCTCGCTGTCGCCTAGACTACGCTGCCAGCCTTGTCGCTGAGTCTGAGTCTGCGTCTACCTGTCCTCCGTCCGTCGGGGGTGAGTGTGCCCTCGGCACGGACGTCCTTGAGGACAGACAGGAGGAGTTCCACTGCCTTGCTGCTGCTTTGCCCCGTCTCGTGTCCTTGCTAGTTGCCCCTGAGGGAGACCCGGATGCACCAGACATCCCGACCCCACGCTCTTACGCTGAGGCGATGGCGGGTCCCTACTCCTCTCAGTGGCAGACAGCCATGGACGCAGAGATGGCTTCCTGGAAGTCCACAGGCACCTACGTCGACGAGGTTCCCCCTCCTGGGGCGAACATCGTCAGTGGCATGTGGATTTTCAGGGTGAAGCGGCCGCCGGGTTCTCCGCCTGTCTTCAAGGCGCGTTACGTGGCTCGAGGCTTCAGTCAGCGAGAGGGAGTAGACTTCTTTCAGACCTTCTCCCCCACCCCGAAGATGACCACTCTTCGGGTGCTACTGCACATAGCCGCTCACCGTGACTACGAGCTTCACTCCCTTGACTTCAGCACAGCGTTCCTGCAGGGCAGCCTGCACGAGGAGATCTAGCTGCGCCGCCCCCCTGGCTTCACTGGGTCAGTTCCTCCTGGCACCCAGTGGAGGCTTCAGCGGCCGGTCTACGGTCTCCGCCAGGCACCACGTGAGTGGCACGACACACTGAGGACGACACTTGCGGCTCTTGGGTTCGCTCCTTCTACTGCTGACCCGTCGCTGTTTCTACGCACCGACACCTCGCTACCGCCGTTCTACATCCTCGTGTACGTCGACGACTTGGTCTTTGCCACTGCTGACACCGCGGCACTCGCCCACGTGAAGTCGGAGCTGCAGAGGAGACACACGTGCACAGACCTGGGTGAGCTGACAAGCTATCTTGGCTTGCGGATCACCCGGGACAGAGCACGGCGCACCATCACCCTGACTCAGTCACACATGGTGCAGCAGGTTCTCCAGCGCTTTGGCTTCACGTACTCCTCGCCTCAGTCCACTCCTCTGCCTACCGGTCACTCGCTCTCAGCTCTGCCTTCGGATGAGTCCGTAGAGCCGAGTGGCCCGTATCCAGAGCTTGTGGGCTGCCTCATGTACCTGATGACCTGCACTCGACCTGACCTTGCATACCCTCTTAGCATCCTTGCACGCTATGTCGCTCCTGGCCGTCACAGGAAGGAGCACATGGATGCCGCTAAGAGGGTGTTGCGCTACTTGTGCAGTACGTCGGGCATGGGGCTTGTGCTTGGAGGACGAGACCGAGTTGTTCTCACAGGGCACTCAGACGCTTCTTGGGCAGACGACCAGGCCACTCAGCGGTCGTCTCAGGGTTACACCTTCAGCCTTGGCTCTGGCTCAGTTTCTTGGCGCTCTACACGCTCTTCTTCTGTTCTCGGCTCCAGTTGCGAGGCTGAGATCTACGCTACAGCCATGGCTGCCCAGGAGCTACGCTGGCTGACCTACCTGCTGACCGACCTCGGAGAGCCGCCTCGTTCTCCTCCAGTCCTGTACGTCGACAACAAGGCTGCCATTGCCTTGTGTGAGGAGCACAGACTGGAGCACAGAACGAAGCACATCGCCCTGCGGTACTTCCTTGCTCGTGAGCTGCAGCAGCGCGGTCAGCTTTGTATTCGCTACGTGGCCACTGAGGCCAACACTGCTGATGTGTTCACCAAGGCGCTTCAGCCTCGTGACCATCAGCGCTTTTGCACTCTACTAGGCCTTGTGCCTACTGGACCTCACTTACTTACCTCTTGACTTTGCTTGTACTGTGATCACTATATATATCTATACCTGCATGTTTACTCTTGCTAGGTTGTGATCACTGTATCTCTTGCTCTGTTATAAACCTGCATGTGAACTGGTCTTGTGACCACTAGCTTGTGCTCGGAATTTGTGTGGAATCCTCGAGATCCACCCTGAGCTTGTTGTTGCCTTGCTTTGCCTTGACTGGTCTTGTGACCCCTAGGTCTCCCCCACTTTGCCTATGGGGGTGTGTCAAACATTATATGTTTATATGATTGTAGGCAGTAGTGGGTGATACCTTAGGGGGTACACTGGATTAGGGTTTCCTATTTGTATCCATCCTTCTGTTAGTACAGTCATTCCAGTCTCTTATTTTGACACATGTGAGTTAAAAGTGGTGTGACTCAATGCCGAAAGTCTTCTACTCAGCTTCTGCCAAGGCTGCGACGTACGGGAATTCCGAACCTTCTCAAATTGAATTTCGATACAATAAGACGCGAACCTGTGAAGCATATTGTTTTAAGCTGAAATGGTGTATTATGCTTCATTAGCATCTAAGATGTATATGCTGTGCACTAAATGATTTGAGAACGTTTTACCATCTGAATATATGGCATGGTTGTTCTTCAGGATATTTCGAGACTAGCAACAGTGCCAGTTAACAATAATTCTAGCTAATAACGGGGTGCTAAAAGTCAGTATACACAAGCATGATGTCAGAAAATGAATGATGGATTGACTATTGTGGGTTGGGGTACATAAACCTAACCCTAATGGCTGTACCCCATATGACACGCATCACTAAAGGCTACAACATTTGACACACCCCCATAGCCTAAGTGAGGGGTGTCAAGCGAAATCAAAGCCGTACGATCACAAGACCAATCACAAAGAAACAAAGCTCTGGGTGGATCACAACGTCACCGCACAATCCGAGCACTAGCAAAAGAGCCAGAAGGCCTGTCCAAGAGTTTACAGAGGTATATGCAAAGCGTACAAACAAAGCAAGCAGATAACTCAAGTCTACACAAGACGAGAACATGTGTCAACGAGACCTAACTGCACACAACACATGTGGTGGTCACATGGCAGAAGGGCCTTTGTGAAGATGTCTGCAGTGTTGGCCTCGGACTCCACAAAGTCCAAGCGAGCCTGTCCACGCCTCTGCAACTCTCGCAGAAGAAAGTACCTGATGTTGATGTGCTTCACTCTGCTCTCCAGTCGAGGCTCTCGACAGAGGAGAATCGTCGCCTTGTTGTCAGTACACAAGGTTGGTGCAGAGCTCGGCCGCTCACCAAGGTCGGTGAGCAAGAAGGTCAACCAACGCAGCTCCTGTGCAGCCATGGCTCCAGCGTAGATCTCAGCCTCAGCGGTAGAGGTCAAGACAGAGAAGGAATCGTGGACCTCCATGAAACAGCTACAGAGACCATGCTGAAGCAGTACCTCTGAGTAGACCTGTGAGTCTCGACGTCGTCAACGTAAGAAGAGTCACAGTGACCTGTAAGTACGACAGACTTGTCGAAATACTAGGCACAATCGAGAAACAGGCAAAGAGGTTTTCACTAGCAGGCAGTTGAGTACATATAGCAAACCCTAATCTGGGCTGTACTTGCTATAGAGTACCCCACTGCAGGCTAGACAAACATCACATTCTGACACACCCCCATAGTCAAAGTGGGGTATAATCAGCACAGCAAGCAGGCAGAGCAGTAGGTTCACAAATACAAGCAAAGCTAGAGGCTATCACAGAGGGCAAGTGAGGAGGAGGAGAAACTGCGGGGGCGAGAAGATGGGAGGCGATGGCTGAAGCTGCAGACACACGGGCAACAGGAGTGCGCAGCACTGTCGCTACCAGGCTAAACCCGGACTACACGGCGACAGGCATAGCTGGCTCGCTGTGCTCCCAGGAGTGCTTTCACTGTGGCTACCGGGCGCAGAGCCCCGGACTACACGGCCACAGGGGGTCGTGGCTCTCTGGACTACCAAGAGTGCTCACACTGTGGCTACCGGGCGCAGAGCCCCGGACTACACGGCCACAGGGGGTCGTGGCTCTCTGGACTTCAGGCGCTGCGGACGACAAGACGGCTGCCTCCACTCAACTTCCCCCAGCTGTCCCACACCCCTTTCACACACCCTCTGCTGTACCTCTAGCACTGCTCACACGCCACCCCCCTAGTACCACTCCGACGGCTCCAACACACCCACCCCCCTCAGCGGCAGCTGCAGCAGTGGGAGACGGAGGAGGAGGAGGAGCAGGGGACGGCGCACACACCCGTCACCCCCATACTCGCCACCCCCAAACCCTAACACAGGCAGTAGCGGGGGTGGTGCGCGGGCAGCAGCTCGGGGGACGGCGCACGGCTCCGGCTCAGGCTGCACGGACCGCGCGCAGGCTGTACGGGCCGCGCGCTGGCCTGGCGCAGGCCGTACAAGCCGCGCGCGCGCCTCGCGCAGGCCGTACGGGCCGCGCGCGCGCCTCGCGCAGGCCGTACGGGCCGCGCGCGGGCCTGGCGCAGCCCGTACGGGCCGCGCGCGGGCCTGGCACTGGTCGCGCGGGCTGCGTCAGGCGACGGGGGGCGACGCGCGGGTCGCCGGGGGCGCCTCGACGGGTGACGGGGGGCGACGCGCGGTTCGACTGGGCAGAAAACCGCTGCACGCCTCGGGGCGCACGGTGGGCAGAAAACCGCGCGCGCGCGCGCGGCGAGCAGAAAACCCTAAAAACGTCGTGCTTTTCGAGCGCGCGGTAGGCTGAAAACGTCGCGCGCCCGAGGCGCGCGAGAAGCAGAACAGCAGCGGAAGCATCGGGTGGGCCCACCCACAGGATCGACCCAGGAGGGTCGACCTGCTCTGATACCATGTCGAATTACTAGGCACAATCGAGAAACAGGCAAAGAGGTTTTCACTAGCAGGCAGTTGAGTACATATAGCAAACCCTAATCTGGGCTGTACTCGCTATAGAGTACCCCACTGCAGGCTAGACAAACATCACATTCTGACAAGACTGTCTCCCTCCAAGTACCAGCCCCATGCCTGATGTCGTCGCTAGGTACTTCGCCACCCTCACAGCAGCTATCCAGTGAACGAGACGGTGTCTCCCTGGCACAACAAAACGAGCCAGGATGCTGAGAGGGAAGGCGAGGTCCGGGCGAGTACAAGTCATCAGGTACAAGTCATCAGGTACAAGACCAGGTCGTCGACGTAGACCAGAACAAAGAAAGGTGTGGGGCCACGACGAACGAACAGCGACGGGCTGGCAGAAGACGGCTGGAAACTGAGATCAGACAGGGTAGAGCGAAGGGTGTCGTGCCACTCACGAGGAGCCTGACGGAGACCGTAGACTGGTCGCCTGAGCCTCCACTGGGTCCCAGGAGGGAAAGTGCCAGTGAAGGCAGAGGGACGACGCAACCAGACCTCCTCGTGTAGGCTACCCTGAAGGAAGGCAGTGGAGAAGTCGAGAGAGTGTAACTCATAGTCTCTCTGTGCTGCTACGTGCTGCTTCTTTGAGGTAGGCGCAAAGGTCTGAAAGAAGTCAACTCCCTCACGCTGACTAAAACCTCTAGCCACAAAGCGCCCCTTGAAGACCGGAGGAGATCCCGGTGGCCGCTTCACCCTGAAAATCCACATGTCATCGACTACGTACGCCCCCGGGGGGAACCTCATCGACGTAGGTGCCTGTGGATCTATAGGAGGCCATCTCTGCGTCCATGGCAGCTCTCCACTGAGAGGCCCAAGGCCCTGACACTGCCTCAGCGTAAGTGCGAGGAGTCAGTATGTCAAGGGCGTCGGGGTCTCCCTCAGGGGCGAGCAGCATGGCACAGAGATTAGGGGAAGCGGCTGGCAGGAACTCCAGCTCAAACCGCTTGTCCTCTAGGGTGTCACAGCCAAGGGCAGACTCACCCCCGACGGCGAGAGGACTGGTAGGAGGAGAAGCCACGATACGAGTGGCATAGTCAAGGCAGCGAGTAGTGGCGAACTTAGTGAACGCGACAGTAAGGGCGGAGATAGAGGACAGAAAGGCACGAGGGTGTGTAATAAGAGAGGCGAGAACACGAGAGAGAACAGGACGGTACGTGCGGTAGTAGTCAGTGACAGGAGTAGAGAGGGAAGCAGTGAGGGCCGACTCAGGAGGAGAAGGAAGCCTAGACGGAGACGAACAAGGCGGACTAGAATGAAACAGGATAGTACGAAGGTCTGTGACGGGGACAGGGGACGAGGAACGAGCACGATGAGAGTGAGAAGCCCAAGTGTGAGAAAGAGGAGGGGACAACGGAGGCTGAGAATCGGGGGAAAACAGCTGGGGTGGGGTCAGGAGGAGGAAGCGTGGAACCGTAGACATGAGGAGAGGGAGAGGGGGAGGAGAGGGGAGACCGAGGGTCCGAAGGCTAGTGACACGATGTGGAGGTGGCGGCTGCTGCTGCTCCTGCTGCAGCGGCTGCTGCTGCTGCTGATCCTGCTGCGACGGCTGCTGCTGCTGCTGCTGCTGCTCCTCCAGCTGCCGTAGCTCCAGCTGCTGCCGCTCCAACTCTAGGCTCTCTCTCTCCAACTCCAGCTGCTCCTCACGTGCACGGCGAAGACGGGCCTAGTGCCGGGTCAGGTAGGGGTGTGAGCAAGGAGTAGTGTCCGGGGCGGTGGTAGCTTCAGGACCGCCCTCCAAAGCACCACTCACACCAACCCCAAAGTCAGCACAACCAGAAGCAACACAGTCAGTCACAGGCTCTCCGGGTCCAGCAGAGGGCGCACCCGCACCCCCAGTCGTAGCACCCCCAGGGACAGCTCGACTAACACCAGCTCCCCGAAGACTAGAGTCTCCTGCAGTCACGGGCTCAGCTCCAACTCCAGCACCCCCAGAACCAGGACCTCGTACATGTACGCTCTCCACTCCAACGGCAACACCTCAAGAGATAGCACCTCCAGGGACCTTGACAAGAACACCAGCTCCCGCAAGGTTTGTAGTAGGCTGTGAGGAGGACTTTGGGGAAGGGGACGGCACCTGAGGGGCTACCAAAGCGGGG